CTGACTGAGCCATAGAACGGCCAGCTCTTTGGTCAAACATTTTTGGTAAGTGTGAGGGAACATCTTAAGTTCTTAGCTTCCCTACAGATAGCTTCCATTAATTGTCATTCCCTGTGTATACTGTGCATGTGTGTGTTTGTGTGTGTATGAGTGTGTATGTGCACATTTGTGTCTTCTTCAGTTGAGGTCCACCTTATGTTTTGAGACTGAGTTTCCCACTGAACTTGGAGTTCACTGAGTCATCTAGGTTTGCTGGCCAATGAGCTACAGGGATCCAACTGTCTCCGCCTCCCCAGCCCTGTGATTACATACATACTGTTGAACTTGGTTTATATTTATTTAATTTTTATTTTTTTACAGAACTCCAGCTAGCTTTGTTTAGGCTCATGTCAGACCTACTAAAGGGTTTCCAGCAGTCACTTCCCAAAGGCTCCTGCAGAGTCACCATCCAGCTGACCTCTCCTCAGAGGCTCTTTGTCACCCTGACCCTTGATTTCTGCTATTACCTGCTCCTGTCATCTGGACTCCAGTCTCTGTCCAGTGTCCTTATCAGGACTTCAGAGCATGACTGCCAGTTTGAAGGTACCCTCAAGTTTGGCAGGAACCACATGGACAAAAGTCTTGTAGAACAAAGCACCCTCAGCAGCCTGGTGACCAGATCCTCACATATGAATCTAAAAACCCCACCCCCCAAACAGGAACAAGGGGCAGACTGCTTTACAGAAGGATCCATGGGTCAGTCCACTAGCCTAAAATTAAACTCCTTCTCCTTACCTAACTTTGGCTGTTGGTCTCTGATTTTTCTGTAACACTGCCTCTAGCTCCTCAGTGCTGAGATTACCAAATATGTGTCACCAAATCGGCCCTGAATCCTAAGAATTTTTAAGGCTTTGTTCTCTCAAGTAGTACTTCAAGCAGTTTCCTCAAAGCACAAAACTTGAGGTAGGAGAGACATCTCAGCAGTTAAGAGCACTGATTGCTCTTCCAGGGGACTTCAGTTCACATCCCAGTGCCTACAAGGCCATTAACAACTGTCAGTAACTTTACTTCCAGGGGATCCCATGCCCTCTATGGCCTCTACGGGTATTGCATGTACATAGTGCACTTACATGTATGTAAAACACTTAGTATACATTTAATTAATTAATTAATTAAAATAGCACAAACCCTTTAGGTCAAAAGGCACATCAAACTCTTTAATTATAAAGCTTTTTGTGAGCATGGTGGCTCAGACTTACAATCCCAGCACTTGGGAGGCTGAGTTAAGAAGATCCAGAATCCAAGGCCAAGGGTAAAGTGCAAGACTATGTCTCCAAAAGTACACCTTCTAGAGAGGAGGGTGTTATGGAGCATTGGTATACTGAAGCTCTAGACCCATGTGACAACATTTGGAGGTGGAGCTTCTAGGAAGTAGGTCAACATAGAGGAAGTTGCAAGGGCAGAGTTCTTGGTGGGATTAGTGTCTTTGTAAGAAGAAGAAGGAACAGCAGCTCCTTCAACATATCAGGACAGACAGGTGAGTATCTAGACGCCAGGAATTGGGAATGAATCAACAGTTGCCCTGATCTTGGACTTCTCAGCGTCTAGGACTGCGAGAACTTAATACCTGTTGTTGAAGTCACTCGGTCTATGACACTTCCTAATAGCAGTTCAAGCAGACGAAGACAGGAGCTCCCTCTGAAGACAAGGCTTTTATTATTTAAGGAAAACTTCATTTCATAAAATGGCAAAGAGCTAGGCTGTGGAGCAATAAGAGGGCAGGTGAGTGGCCTATCTGCACCTGTTCCCAGGACACAACTGGGAACAACACTGTTGCAGTGGTTTGCAGATGTTTCTAAAGAACTCAGATGTCACAAAAAGTGGCAGCAGTTCCACAGTCATAATTCATATCCATCTATTCTGCCCTCTATGAGGAGTCCAGTGATGGATGTCCTAGATCCTGCCCTGTCATGATCCACTCCTGGAGGTCTGAGTGTATTGGTTCTGTGACATGAGAGAACCTGATATGTTGAGTATCTGTCACAAAGAAAAAAATAACCACACAGAGAAAAAAAAACTTGTAAAGATTTCCATTGACAGTTTTTAGAGACATATGCACTTACTGCTCATTAGCCAGATACCTCAGAGATATACTGCTTAAAATGCTGTAACTCTCTTTCCTGAGCAACATACAGGTAACAGCATGTATTCATGAGGAAAAGGCAAAGGCTGGTGGGTAGTTCTGAAAGCTCAGAAAAAAATCGAGTTAAAAAAATAGAGCTCCACATCGACTAGAGTAGGGCTGACAAGTATGCCACATGCACCCATTACCGAGCTATTGGCAGACAGCAATAATCAACCCACTAGGTAATCACTGCTGACAAAGTGCTGCTGTTCCAGCTCAGGGTTTAGAGGGTCATTACCCATCCTTCAGATGTGACTCTCCTACGGATACTTGGCCGTCCTTCTTACCTAGATCTCCTCCTACTCAGTTAGAGACACCATACTAAATGTTTTTTAGTTGTATCCTGTTCTTTCCCCTGCCCCCTTGCCTCAGGCTCCAGATCTTCTTTCCTAAAACATCCTTTGTATCCTTCACGCTTCATGATTCTCCATGGTAAACTTGCACAGGCAGTTCTGGCTACGTCAGAAATGACATTCAAGGTCAGGTGTGGTGGCCCACACCTTCAGTCCCAATACTTGGGAGGCAGAGGCAGGTGGATCTCTGTGAGTTCAAGGCCAGCCTGGTGTAAATAGTGAGTTCCAGGCCAGCTATGGCTACAGGAAGACCCTGTCTCAAAAAGGCCAAAAAAAGAAAACAACAGCAACAAAAAAAGAAAGCAAGCAGAAATGACATTCAGTATATTTGCAATGGGTTTGGTTTGGGTATTGGTCAACCAAAATGGTTCTCTGTCCATAAGCAGATACAAAGACAGTCCTGCTCAGGCATGGTGTGCATGGCATCTAGCCAAAAGGGAGACATTTTTAGGTAGCATTTGAAAGATATGCTGACTTGTATAGTTGAGAAAAGCAGAACCATCTGGAAACTCCAAAGGAGTGTTGAAATAGTGTGCCTGCTCCATCAGATTCATGACCTTCATGCTGGCACAGCCTGGCATACTCCTTGACCTTATTTGCCTTTGCAAAGGCATCAGGATGGGCAGGCAGTGGTCATTAGGATCCTTGGTTATCATCACTTCAGTTCTGGAGCCCTCCACAGCTGAGGAGTCTTCTCTCTGGCCCATTTTATATTAAAACATCCCTGAAAAGGAATGACTATTTGTAGGCTTGTGCAATTCCCTCTCAGCATGTAGGTCAAAAAGCACTCTCACTTCTGCCAGTTGGAAAGAAAAAGAATAAAGAGAAAACCTCATCTCAGCACTGTTTTCCAGTGTGTGCTCTGTGGATCTTTTGCCTGCACTGGTATCTGTTTCATTTGTTATAACATTGATTGCAGAACACTATATGGAAATCTGTATGAAGAGGACCTGAAGTTTACTTTTTTTTTTGCTTGTTTACTTTGATTAAAGTTTGCAAATATGAAGCCTAGGCATTTTTTTTTCACTATTCTGTCCAAAGACATGGTCTTCTCTTGAACTGATTTCTGTTTGGTTTGGTTTGGTTTGATTTTTGAGACAGGGTCACCCTGTAGCCCTGGCTTGCCTGGAATTTGTTCTTTAGACCAGGCTGGCCTCAATCTCACAGAGATCTGCCTGCCTCTGCCTCCCAAGTGCTGGGATTATGGGTGTGTGCCACTGGCTCTTGAAATTTCTTAACAGTAGTCTTGAAAATTCAGGTCATTGGCGTTCCTTGGTCATCTTCACAGTAGAACTTCAGAAAAAAGCAGATATGATAGAGAAATACACACTGGCCCACACATCACTGTATACAAGACTAGCTGCGGGTTATTGACATATGGCTCATTTGTTATGTCATTCAATCCAGTCAACACTGATGATTCCTGGAGATGGCAAGAGAATCAAAGATAGATGACACAAAAGAGCTTGGGGCCTTTGTGTGTCTCACAGCTTGATCTCTGGCATCCCTTCAGACTCTACAAGCTCACCAGGTGGCCCTGGGGTCATGGACTGGCCAGTCCCAACTAACCCAGGACTGTATTAGTGCAAGTCCCATACTTTGAGGTCTTCCAGGGTTTTCTTTGCTGCTATCAGTAGCCAGTCCCTACTGGGCATGGTGATACATGCCTATAATCCCAGCACTCAGGAGGCTGAGACAAGAGGATCACAAATTCAAAGCTAGCCTGGGCTACATAGAAAGCCCTTATCTCAAAAAACAAAGGGGTAGTAAAATGCTAGTCCCCAAATGGCTTTCTGTTGACCAATCTATGAACTAGACCATAAATTTTGGGCTCACTTCAAATCCAAACCTGGCTGGTTAACCACTCAAATCCTGATCAAATGACTTGTATTCTCTGAGCTCCTGACTTCTCTTATTTTAAGTGAGCATAATATTTCCAGTCCCACAGAATTCTTAAGAAGGACTTACTACAGGAGTGTATATGTAAGTCCCAAATAGTACACAGTATATATGCTCTTAGCCAAGGCTTCTGTCTTTCTACCTCCAAGAAGCTGGGTAAATTTCCAAAGCTTTGTATTATCTTTACTAACCAAAGTCAGTTAATCATTGACTGACAAAACCAGGTTGCAGAAGACCTAGAAACAACAGGGCTGTCCTTCAGTGCACTGCGTCCAAGCAGAATTTAGAATTTTATAGATGAACACATTGTACAGATGTTTAAAAAAACTTAACACCAGAAAATAATAGAAAGAAAGACAGCTGACAGCAACATGCACAACACGTTTATCCTGATTTTCCTCATTGGCTTCAGAATAGAACAGATTGAACTTGGGCCTTTGGGAAGCCACTGCTCCTGAAATAACACCAGCTCTGTCTGGCCACAGAACACATGAGTCAGCATCTCACTCTAAACGCCTTCCTGGGTATCCCACAAGAGAGGTGCTGCAAACCTCTGGTGAGCAGAGGTCAGACAGCTTGGGAACCTGCACTGGTGGCAGTCACGAGTTTCAACAGCCTCTGCCAAATTCCTCAAGACATGTAGAGCCAGGTACAGTTTCCATTTCATATTAGATAAAGCTAAGACTTGGCACTATGTTGGTGTAATGGTGACAACAGGATAGAAAGTATATTTAAAGCTGGGTCCAATGTTCAAGGACTTGGCAGTCTTCCTGGCCCCCATCCATTCCCTAGGCAAGATAAACAGAACAAGTGGGGTAGCTGTGTATTTGCCAGCATCAATCCAAACAGCAAATATACTTATTTTTTTGTTCCCTAAAATATGTCATCTCTAAATCAATTATTTAAAGAAAGGTTCATATGTGAGTAATTTTTTTTAAGACAGGGTCTCCCTGTAGCCCCAGTGGGCCTGGAACTCACTATGTAGACCAGAATGGCCTTAAACTCACAGGGATCAGCCTGCCTTTGCCTCCCAAGTGCTGGGACTAAAGACATGTGTCACCATGTCCAGCTAAATGTGAGTAATTTTTAAAGCTATAAACACGAAGGTAGAGAATATAACCAGTTTTAAAAGCTAATAAAATCATAAGTAGAACAAGATCTGAAGATATTGTACTTGTGTTAATTAATTACCCAACAGCTCCATCTTATTTCCTTTGCGTGTAAGGGATTTGGACATTACTGATGTCAAAAAAGTTAATTAAGCAGTTATACTATCTCCCAAGGAATAAAGCCAGCAAAGGGAATAAACCTTCTGTACAGGAAGAAACAGGTCTGGAGAGGCAAAAAGACATGCCCAGCTGATGTTGGGTATAGTTTGAAATTTGATTTGTGGCAGTGTTAGAAGGTGGGGCCTTTAGGAGATGATTGGAATGTGAGGTCTCTGCCTTCATGAATGGATGAATCCATTCAAGAATTCTTAAGGATCATCTCAGAAGTGACCTTGTTGTAAGTGAACGCTCTCTGACTGGCTTGCTCTGATTTTCCTTGTGATGCCCTTCCCCCTGTTAGAATGCAGCACGAGGCCCTCACCACATACTGGCAGATGTTGGCACCATGCTCTTAGACTCCCCAGCTTACAGAACTGTGAGTGAAATAGACTATTATTCAGAGTAAAGAACCAAGTTCTTTTTGTTTGTATTTTGTTTTAGCAATAGAAAACGGGCTATATAACACTGGGAAAAAACTGAATTTTGGCCCTTGTTCTACCAAAGATAGAACAAAAAAGTCTCACATGGTGAGATGGGAGTGAATCTCAATTTTCCTGTCTCAGTCTAACATTTGTACTATTGTGCTTCAGATTCTAAGGACTGCTGTCACCAAGGTTCAAAGTAAAATGCTTTAAATTTATGTAAAGAAAGATTTCATAGTGGAGCAAAGCCCTACTGCTGGCAAATAGTTGTAGGTTAAGTTAGTAATTTGGGAATGTCAATGTTTTTCTGCTCCTGGCATTTGTCCTTCAAGAGTTACATAAAACTAAAATTGAGCCACCATGTATGTAACCCAGCTATTCCACTCATAGGCATGTACCCAAAGGACTCTAAGTGAACATACCACAGAAACACACACACACATATCCATGCTTATTGCTGTATTGTTCATAATAGCAAAGAAACAAACAACTTGGATATCCATCAACAGATTAATGGATAAAGCAAATATGGTACATATACACAATTGGAGTTTTTTCGGTCATAAAGAGATTGTGGCATTTGTTTTGGAAAAAATAGATGGATCTGGAGATCATTATGTTAAGTGAAATACACCAGATTTCTCTTACAATATGGACCTAGGTTTTCGTGTGTGTGTGTGTAAGTCATTGTATTAGTTACTTTTCTGTTGCTGTGATAAAACGTTGTGACTAAGGAAACTTATATGAAGAAGAGTTTATTTGAGAGTATGGTTCCAGGTTTCAGAAGGATTAGAGCCCATCATGGTGGGGAGGCATGGTGGCAGGAGGTGACCAGAGCAGGAGCAGAAGCTAAGTGCTCACATCTTCAAGCAGGCCCAGGAAGCAGAACTTAAGAACTCTCAAAGCCTAGCTGGCCATGGTGGCACATGCCTTTAATCCCAGCACTCAGCAGGCAGAGGCAGGCACAGCTCTGTGAGTTCAAGGCCAGCCTGGTCTACATAGTGAGTTCCAGGACAGCTGGGGCTACAGAGAGACCCTGTCTCAAAAAGACCAAAAAAAAAAAAAGAACTCTCAAAGCCTACCCCTAGTAACTCACTTCTTCCAGCAAGTCCACACCTCCTAAAACCTCCCAAAATAGCGCCACCAATTGGGGACAAAATGTCCAAATACTTGGGGGATAGTCTCATTCAAACCACCACAGTCATGAAACTAGAAAAAGGACCATCCATGAAAGGGGAGGAAGTGATCTTAAAGTGTGGGGAAGGGAAGAGAGGATAATAGTATACGTGTAATGTGAAGGCAGGAGGGGGAACTATTTGGAGGCAGGAAAGGGACCAGCAGCAGTGGGTAAAAGGGATAAGAGATAGAAATGAGGGACAGGAATGAATGTAAACAGGGCCTGATGACGTGTGTATGAAAATGCTATAATGCAGTCCGTTGCTTTGTGCACCAGCCTTAAAAATAAAAAATAAAGGTCATGTGAACTGTGTGAGAGAGAAGACTTACCTGTTAAAAACAGCTTGAGAAAAAAACTGTAATCCCAGCACTTGAGAGGCTGAGGTAGAAGGACTGTCTTGAGTGCAAGGCCAACCTGGCCTACAGAAGAGGTTCCAGGTCAACCTGAGCTACATAGGAGATCTTATCTCAGAAAGAAAAATATGACATAAATGTCCCTCTCCCACCAGCAGGAGGGCTGCAGTGCCTAGTCCTTGTCTCCTGTTTAGGTTAAGATGGTGTTTTATCTTCAACAGTGATTCCCAAACCCCTATTGTTTGTTGGGCAAATCGTGTTTGCCAGATACACTGTGACAATGTGCCCTCACAGAATTTGTGATCTACTAAGGAGATGGATATCAGACAATTACAAATGTTTGTATTTTCTGGTAAGATATATGAAAGGCAGCAGGTAGGAGAGGGCTCAGTCAGGGGAAGGACTTAGGGTGAAGAGAAGATCTACTGGGCAGTGGCAGCCACACTGGCTGCCAGCCAAGACCAAAGCCTTTTTGAGTTGGTGAGTTCCAAGAATTGCTCTTGAAGCAGAAGAAAAGCACAGGAAAGGGGAAGTGGTAGGAAATAGGAGGGTTGGTATGTCCGAAAAAGTAACTTTACAGTTTAAGAGTGTTACCTGGAAAGCTGGGTGTGGTGATAACAAGCCTCCCACTGGGGCAAGAAAGCCATGACTTCATAGGAAGTTCCTATCTCAATTTTCTTTTTAATTGCCTTGAGTTTGGCAGCTGTAGCCCCTGGATAATTGGGCACAATAACATGTGAGAGAAGGCAGAGGTAAGTAAGGTATGGAAGGGGATCTAGGGTAGGAACTCCATGTCATCCAGGGTACCAAGGCTTTTAGTAGAGACTGGTACAACAGGGCTGGGAAGACTGCTAGGCTATCAGACCATACCCCACAATGAGTGTGAGTCACTTCCTGGACTGTGGTGCTTAACTAAGGCTGAAGTCATCCAGTCCAAGTTGCTCATACCAGTTAGAGTCTATGCCCCAGTTCAAGAAACTGATGGTGGTAAACTCCCATGCTGGGTTCCTGACTCTCATGTTTCATACCATCTTATCAATCAGTGATTGTGACCTTCTCCAGATAGGCAGAATCAATTCCCAAGGGCAACTGGGTATTATATAGTCAGACAACAGTTGTTGAGATAAATGATTTTTCTGTATATGTGTTTCCTTTAATCGCTACTCAAGTTCACACAGACTGAAGATTGAGTCAGACAACAATCCCACGCACATTTGAACTTGTGATTCATCAACATTCTCCAAAGAAATTGCTATTCTTTTTTTAAAAAATTATTTATTTTTATTTATATATGAATGTTATGTCTGCATGTAAGTGCACCCATGTCATGTAGTGCCCTAGGAGACCAGAAGAGGAGTCATCCCCTGGAACTTGAGCTATGGGTGGTAGCTAACTGCCATGTGGGTGCTAGGATTTGAACCTGGGTCTTTTGCAAGAGCAGCTAGTGCTCTTAACTGCTGAGTCATCTCTCCAACCCAGAAATTGCTATTTTTTCCAGTTTAAAACAGTATTTTAGATTTAAGAAAATGAAATATACAAAATACATTGTTATGCCTACTCAAAGAAATCAAGTAGAATTGGAAATAGATTTATTTATTTATTTATTTGTTTTGGCACTGTTGGGAATAGGGAATAGAATGCTTGCTAACAAGCGCTCTACCACTTAGCTATATCCCCAGGCCCTGGTTCCTTTTAAAATTAAACTATAGGTATTGAAATCCTCAATACATTAATTGAAGGGATAAGAGAAAAATTGGAGCCACCTAAAAAGGAAATAATAGATTATTTCACTTTCAGGATGATTATGTGGAAGAAAAGCCCAAAATCAGTACTTCTATTGTCAAAATTAAAAAGAGAGATTATAGATAACCATTGGATGACAGCAATTAGCAAAATTTTGATTCAAAATGTATCATTTTTAGAGGCATGAAGAACAACCAGAAGGAGAAGGCACACAAGACATTTCCCTGAGAATACATTACCATGCTGTGTGAGTACATGTGCATGCACAAACCTGACACATGGCACAGTGCAGTTTCCGTGGCAACAGGGGAGGGGACTCCCCATGAAGCAATCTTTTTAAGTCAGACACACTTATAAAGATCCATGTACTGAAAGCTGTAAGGGAGATGTTTTGAACTCAAAAGAAAAATTATTCTAATCTTCCCTGAGATGAGCTCAAGCAATTATCCCTGTGTTCTCAGCCAGGCGTCGTGGTACAGCCTAACCTTCCACAAACTCCATCACTGTTACAATGGGCCATGTTCCTAGGAGCTTTGCAAACCTTTGGAGACAGTGATATCCTCATTATCATTGCTCCCCCAAACAAGCATGGGCTCTTTCTTTATTAAAAAGTACAATTAATCTGAGTGTATAGAAGCAATGATGGAAGGGATACAAAAAATCTACATGGAGTTTAAAAAGATGTG